CCCCCCGGGCCCCCCTGCCGCGTCGCTTGGAATATGGCCCCCGTCCGGGGGCGGGGCCGCGGGCCGGGCTGGGCACACACACACACACGCAGACACACACACACACGCAGCAGGCCCCCATTGAGGCGGATCGCCGCCAAGTCTTTCACACGTCCACGTGATCGTGTCCCAATGTTCTCACTCCCCATCGGCCGCCCGACCGGGTATCTTGGGCCTGTGTCTTTTTTTTTTTGTGCATTGTGTACCCGGTCGTGTGTGCGTGTGCACCGAGAAGACCGGGGGACAGGGACTGAGGGGCAGAGAGATTGTGAGTGCGGCCACCACGGCGGCAGGCCTCCTGCCCGGCCCCCGCGCCCCGGGGGTGTGTTGTGTCGAGCGCGGTCGGTCGGCCTTGGGCAAGGGGCGAGGCCCGGCCGGAAAAAATGCGTCCCGGGCGCGCTTCCTCCTCTCTCACGTTGGCGTGGCGGCGTCGACGGCTGGCCGGCCGGCGGGGGGGGGGGCGGGGGGGGGGGCCATTATCTCCCCCTTCGGAGGATGGCCCCGGCCGGCCAGCCCTCGGTCCGCCGTGGCCCTCTGATCGATCGGCCCCGCTCGTGACCCGGGCACGGCCCACTCTGCCCGAGGGCGCGCGGCCCGGGGTGGCGGGGGACGCCAGCGGCGGACAGCTGGCCCCCTCAGCCGGCTGTGCCGGGAAAAATGGCCGCCCTTTCCCAAGCAGCCACCACCGCCGGAGACGGGGAAGACACGCAGGCCGGGCGGGGCACGGACATGTGTATGTGTGTGTATGTCTGGGCGCGCGTGTGTGGAAGATCGCAGGCCGGTGTTTCATCTCCCGGCGGCCTGCGCCGCACGGTTAATGAATCGGACGCGTGCGTGCGCGCCAACCGGGCCCCAGGCGGCACGCGTGCTTGTGCCGTTGTCATCCTGGATCAACGGCCGGGGGCTCCGCGCGAAGGCTCGCCGGCGGTTTTGTCCGTTCGCCGGCCTGGCTGGCTCTTCGGCGCGCGCGCGCGCCGGCCGGCCGGCCGGCAGCCGGGTCCGGCGGCCTCGGCGCTGGGGATTTCCTTTGAACTGCACTGGCGCCCCCCCCCCCCCCCCCCCCCCCCCCCCCCCCCCCCCCCCCCCCCCCCCGGGGCTGCCGGCCGCCCTCCGGGCCGGGCCGCCCCCCCCCATCGCCCCCTCCCTGTCCCCTTGGGGCGCCTGGCCCCAACTGCGCGCGAGCCCGCGCACGCGAGTTCGCCGGGGCCCAGGAGGGGGAGAGGTCCAGTTGTCCCCCCCCCCCCGTCCTCCCGTCCTGGAAGGGGCGTCTCCGCGCGCGCACGCGCGTGTGCGCTCCCATCTTGCCCCCCTGTGTCCCCCCCCCCCACCTACCTGCTTTGAACCCGGCCACCACGCCAGGGCCCGGCCCCACTCACTCATCCCCCCATCTGCGGCGCAGCACGAGAGCCGGAGTCCGGCCGGCGCCGGGGGCCCCGCCTCGTCGCACG